TTATGGCAAAAGTGAAGTAACTGCCGTTTCCCTGAGGAGAGGTGCTCCATCCCTCTGATTAACTTGGGGACCCTCCTCTGGACTCACTCCAACAGATCAATGTCCTTCCTGTGTTGGGGACCCCATAGCTGGATTTAGTATTCCAGATGGGGTTTCAGCAGAGCAGAGTAGAGGGGCAGAATCACCTCCCCTGATCTGCTGGTCACTCTTCTTTAATGTAGACCAAGATACGATTGGTTTTCTGGGCTGCAAATGTTTGTTGCCAGCTCATGTCCAGCCTCTCATCCACCCAGTCCTTCTCATCAGGGCTGCTCTCAGTCTGTTCATCCCCAGCCTGTATTGATACCAGGGGTTGCCCTGACCCACATGCAGCACCTTGCACTTGGTCTTATTAAACCTCATGAGATTCTCGTGAGCCCACTTCTCCAGCTTGTCCAGGTCTCTCTGGATGGCATCCCATCCCTTCAGGCATGTCAACTGCACCACTCAGTTTGGTGTTGCCTGCAAAGTTGATGAGGGTGCACTTGATCCCTTCATCTATGTCATTAAGGAAGATATTAATCAGTACTGGTCCCAATACAGACCACCGAGTGGCACCACTTGTCATTGATGTCCATCAGGGCTCTGAACCGTTGACCACTACCCTCTGGATGCAACTATCCAACCACTTTCTTATCCATCTAACAGTCCACTCATCAAATCCATCTCTGTCCAATTTAGGGAGAAGGATATTGTGAGGAACCCTGTCAAAGGCTTTACAAAAGTCCAGATAAATGGCATCTGTAGCCCTTCTCCACTCCATCATAGAAAACCACTAGGTTTGTCAGGCAGGACTTGCCCTTGGCAAAGCCATCCTGGCTGTCTGTAATCACATCCCTGTCCTCCATGTGCCTTAGCATAGCTTCTAGGAGGATCTGTTCCGTGATCTTCCCAGGCACAGAGGTGAGGTTGACAGGTGGGTAGTTCCCAGGGTCCTCCTTTCTATCCTTTGTAAAGATGGGCACCATGTTTCCCATTTTCCAGTCACCTGGGACTTCCCCTGACTGCCAGGATTTTTCAAATACCATGGAGAGTGGCTTGGCAACTACATCAGCCAATTCCCTCAGGCCTCTGGGATACATCTCATCAGGTCCCATAGACATGTACATTCAGGTTCCACAGGTAATCATGAACCTGATCTTTACTTACACTGGGAGGGACTTTTCCAGTCCCCATCCTGCTGTCCATCCATTCGAGACATGTGGGAAGAGATGTTGCCATTGAAGACTGAGGCAAAAATGTTAAGTACCTCAGCCTTCTCCTCATATGTTGTTACCAGTTTGCCAGTGTTGTTTATTGGGGGCATACACCTTCTTTGACCTTCCTTTTCTGATTAATGTACCTGTAGAAGCCCTTCCTGTTTTTCTTTGCATCCCTTGCCAGGTTCAGTTCCAGCTTTGCCTTTGCCTTCCTCACCCCATACCTGCACAACTGAATCTCTACACTCTTCCCAGGTTACCTGTCCTTGTTTCCACTGCCTGTGTGTTTTCTTCTTGCCTTTTAGTTTGACCAGCATTTCCCTACTCAGCCATGCCAGTCTCTTGCCTTCCTTAACTGATTTTTTGCTCCTGGGGATTGCCAGCTCTTGCACTCTATGGACAGCTTACTTAAAGATCTGCCAGCTTTGTTCCACTCCCTTATCCCCAAGGGCAGTCTCCCAGGGGATCCCACTGACTCTCTCCCTGAAGAGCTGGAAGTTTGCTTTCCTGAAGTTCAGGGGCCTAACTTTACTCCTTACCTGACCCATATTCCTCAGGATTGCAAACTCCACCAATGCATGATCACTGCAGCCTGTATAGCCTCCAATCCTGATGGCCCCAATTAGCTCGCTTGTGCTGGTGACCATCAGATCCAGTACCATACCCCCTCTGGTAGGGCTGTCTATTACCTGGCACAAGAAGTTATCCTGCATGCATTCCAGGAATCTCCTGGATTGCCTGCAGCTGTCTGTGCTACTTTCCCAGTATATGTTGGGGTGGTCGAAATTCCCCAGCAGGACAAGAGCCTGTGAGCATGATGCCTCCTGTAAGTAAGATGGTTTTGTCAATGGGCTCCCCTTGATCAGGTAGCCTGTAGTTAGACACCAACCGCAAGGTTCTCTTTGTTGCCTCAATCTCTGATTCTTGCCCACAGGCTTTCAACCTGCTCATGGCTGTTCTTCAGAGACAGCTCTTCACACTCAATTTGCCTCTTCATGTAGAGGGCAACCCCTCTGCCTCTCCTTCCTCCCCTGTTTCTTCTGAACAGCCTGTAGCCATCAATATTCGCATTTCAGTCATGGGATTTGTCCCACCAAGTTTCAGTAATTGCAGCAAGGTCATAGCTTTCTAGCAGCACAGTGGCTTCTAATGCCTCCTGTTTGTTGCCCGTGCATTGGTGTAAAGGCACCTCAGCTGGGCTGTTGGCTGTGTTGCCTTTCTAGAGGAACACCCCTTAATTCCTTTGAGATAGTTTCCTGGTGTTCCCTTGTTGGGTTGTATTAGCTTAGGAGTCCATGGCTTGTCCCCATAAGACTGTGAATGTGTTCCAGTATGGCCAGCTGTAGGGGGTTGACCCTGGTTGGATGCCAGGTACCCACTCAAACCACTCTCTCACTCCCCTCTGCAACTGGACAGAGGAGAGAGAAAAAAAAACAGCTAAGGATTCATGAGTTGAGATAACAGCTGGGAGAGGTCAGCTACTGATTACCTTCATGGGCAAAACAGATTCAAAGTGGGGATATTAATTGAATTTATTACAAACAGGATAAGAGCCAAAGAGTGAGAAATAAAGCAGTCTTAAAAACACCTTCCTCCCACCCCTCCTTCCTTCCATGTTCTCCCTCCTCGCCCCCAGAGGTGCAGGGGGACAGGGAATGGGGGTTATGGTCAGCTGTTGTTTCTGCTGCTGCTCAGAAAGAGAAGTCGCTCCCCTGATCCCGTGGGGTCCCTCCTAGGGGACACAGTCCCTGATGGACCTCTCCAGCGTGAGTCCATTCTTCAGGCAACAGTTCTTCACAAACTCCATGGGGTGCAGTCCTTCATGAATGAGCTGTACCAGAGTGGGTCCCCCACAGGGCCATGAGTCCTACCTGGGAAAAACCTGCTCCAGCGTGGGCTTCCCTCTCCATGGGCTGCAGGTCTCTGGCAGGACCCTGCTCCATCTTGGGCCTCCCACGGGATCACAGCCTCCTTCATGCATCCACCTGCTCCAGCATGGGCTCCTCCATGGGCTGCAGGTGGGCCTCTGCATCCCAACAGTCCTCCATGGGCTGCAGGGGGACGGCCTGCTCCACCCTGGTCTTCACCATGGGCTGCAGGGGCCTCAGCTCTGGCACCTGGAGCACTCCTCCCCCTCCTTCTGCACTGACCTTGGTGTGTCTACATTGTTGTTCCCATATTCTCTGCTCTTCCCTGGCTGGAATTCTTTTCTGGGCAATACCTTTCTGTTCTTAAATATGTTATCACAGAGGCATTACTATTACTCCTGATTGGCTTGGCCTTGGCTAGCAGCAGGAATCTCGTGCTGGAGCCTGCTGGCATTGGCTCCACCAGACAGGGGAAGCTTTTAGCAGTTTCTAACAGAAGCCTCCCTTGTAGCCCACCCCCACTGCCAAAACCCAGCCACAGAAACCCACTACACCAGCACACTTTAGAGTCAGTGGGGTGTAGATGCACTTCAGCTGGGCTATTGATTTCACCCCCAACTCTGGCATGCCACCCCTTCATTCATCTCTGCTGAGCCTGGTCTTATCCCCTTCCCCCTTCAAACCTAGATTAAAGCCCTCTCAATCAGCCCTGGCAACTCATAGGCTAGAATCCTTTTCCCCCTTTTAGACAGGCAAACCCCATCTGTCTCCAGCAGGCTTGGTGCCATATAAACCACCCCATGATCGAAAAAGCCAAAATTTCACTGATGGCACCAGTCTTTAAGCCTTGTTTTGACCAGGTGGGTTCTCCTCTTCCTTTTGGCATTCTTTGCTGCTACCAAAGGAATCAAGGAAAACACCACCTGTGCTCCTGTCTGTTCAACCAGTCACCTCATTTCTTTGAAGTCCTTTTTGATTGCCCTTGGACTTCTCTCATCAACCTTGTTGCTGCCGACCTAGACAACCAGCAGTGGGTAATAATCAGAGCAGTTAATCAGTCCAGGGAGTCTTCTGGTTATATCCCTTACCCAGGCCCCAGGGAGGCAGCAGACTTCCTTGTGGGATGGGTCCAATTGGCATACTGGGCCCTTGGTTCCCCTCAGAAGGGAGTCACTCACTACAGTTACCCTTCTTTCTTTTTTGACACCCATAGTTGTGATGCATCTGGTTGACTGACTTGTTCTGGGCAACCTTCCAGATAGACCTTCACCTCCGTTATCATTTGCCTGACCCTTGATTTCCAAAATCTCATACCTATTCTGTAAGGGCACTTGGGAAGGTGAGGGAGGCCAGGAGGAGATTCTCCTATGACCCCAAGCAGGGACCTGTTTCCATTCCCCCCCATCTTTTAGGTCCCATCCTTCTGCCTGATGGCAAGAGGGTCGGGGCTCCTCTGACTCTTGCCGAGCTTCCATCTGCTGCATTTTTCTTAGGGATGGAAGGGTGCGACTCCACCAGTCCGTTTTTCTCACACTCCCTGACACTCCTCAGCCTCTCCACTTCCTCTTTAGGCTCTGCCACCAGGCTGAGCAGATCATCCACCTGGTCACACTGCACATGGGTGTCGTCTCTGTTGTCCTCTGATATTATTGTCAGGTGTACATGAGTATTGCTTAAATGGTGCATTGTTTCAAAGGAGAGCATATGCATCTGGTGAAGCTTAAAGTATCCATTTTTATGAAAATGTTGGTAGGCAGTATATTACTGAGGTGTAACTCTATATAATTTTATGTAGTGAGGCAAGATTTAGTGGGGGGTTATTTCCTTCTTGGTTGATCTAGTTTTTATGAAGTTTCAATATTAAAGTATTTTTCTTTTGTCATTATTCATATAGAAGTAGATCTGGCAACAGGTCACTCTCAAGACATAAGGACAGACGCAGATCCAGAAGTCCCCTGAAAAAACGCTCTAGATCTAGGGAAAAGTGGAAATCAAGAAGTCCCTCTTATTCTTGGTGAGTTCCATTCCTCAGAAATTATACTGTTCTTCTTAGCACATGGTCCAAAGTTTTTGAAAAAATCTAGCAAACCTTTTAGGTAATGGCAAAGAATGGAATCTCTAAATGCTTTAGCCTGTCCCTTGGCTTTGTTTGTGGAACAAAAGAATAGAAAGTAATTTTTTTGTGCTGAGTGTACTGGTTTTTGCTGAGATATAGTTATTTTTCTTCTTAGTAGTTCATATGATGCCTACAGGGGTTAAACCACAACAATGAAGCACCTAAACTTTGATAGCAAAGTCTAGTCTACATTTATACCAACATCAAGCTGATTGAAATTAGGTAACTTTAATTGCCGGACTTGAACCAATGAATTAGTTATGGTCTGTGTAGCCTATGCTACAAAAAAAGTGGATGATGGTTCTTCAGCTTTGTCAACAGTTATAGTTTGGATTCATGCTGAACTTGATCCTGCATTCTGAGAACATGTATAAAGTTTTTGTGCACAGGATTTTATTTTTGCCTTTGACTATTTCATATTGACCATACACTGCTGTAGGCACAAATGCATATGTCTGTTGTGACATATTTACATTTCAGCATCTAATACACCTATATTTTACCTAGTCTAATAATTTTTAAGTCTGATTGTCTAAATATTGAACTGTGAAATTCCATTAAAATAATTCCTTTATCTCCTTGGATGATAATTTTATTTTATGAGGGGTAAAATAGGGAATATTCACAAAACAAAAGTGCCTATAAAAGTCACTTCATGAATAGAAACCTTGGTACTTTTCTTTCTGTTTCATCTCTTTAATTCCCCTGACTCATTTAAAGGGAACTTCATACTTAGGTTGTGCTGTTTTCTCTTGTTTTCTGAGGAGAAAAATTTTGTGGGAAAGAGAACTGCAGATCTGTGGACCTCAGTGGGAACAGTTAGGTGGTAGGCTACATAACTGGGCTTTGTTGATGGATCCTTTTGACTCTGTTGCTGTTTTATGGAGCTTCTTGAGATATCTGCTCATTGGAAGGGGCAAAACCAATGAAATCTCTGTGATAAATAACTGGAAAGTGCTTCTTGGGTCATTGTGAAACCCCTTGCTATTGCAGGGATTGTGTGCTGATTCATCTTCATGATCATACATTCCTTCTGTGAGACATCTGAAAAGGTATTTGCCGAAACCTGATGGGGGAACCAAAGTCTTCAGGTCACAGACCATGAAACAAACCTACTATTTATTAGTAGCCAGACAGTTGTTCCAATGAAGGAAGGTGGGGGCTGTGTGTTTGTAGTGGTTTGACCCTGGCCAGATGCCAGGGACCTGTTAAAACCACTCCACTACCCTCCCTTCTCCCCTCTGCAACTACACAGAGGAGAGAAAAAAAAAAACAGCTGAGGATTCCTAAGTAGAGATAAGAACTGAAAAGTTATTTACTGACAGGCAAAACAGACTTAAAGTGGGGGTAGAACTTAAATTTATTACTAACAAGGTAAAAACTAAGAGAGTGAGAAATAAAACAGTCTTCAAACACCTTCCCCCACCTCCCCTCCTTCTATCTCATCTCTTCCTCCTCCCCCCTAGTAGTGCAGGGGGATGGGGAAGGGGTATTTTGCAGTCAGGGTGTTGAGTCTATCCCTCGGGCAGCAGCTTTTTGCAGTCAGCTCTTTGCAGTCCAAAGGTCCTCCATAGTTTACAGGGGGACACCTGCATTACTATGGTCTTCACCATGGGCTACAGGGGGCTCTCTGCAACTCTGAGTCCTTCCCCTGCTTCTGTGGGGTCCCTCCCATGGGAGACAGTCCTTGATGGACCTCTCCAGAGTGAGTCCATCCACCCCCCAGGCAACAGTTCTTTTCAATCTGTTGCCCCGTGGATGATTTCCCCAAGGGGTGCAGTCCTTCATGGGTTGAGCTGTACCAACATGGGTCTCCCACCCAGGCCACAAGCCCTACCCGGGAAAATGTGCTTCAGCATGGGCTTCCCTCTCCACGGGCCACAGGTCTCCAGCAGGACTTCTCTCCATCTTGGGCCTCCCACAGGGGGTCACAGCTTCCTTCATGTATCTACCTGCTCCAGCATGTACTCCTCCATAGGCTGCAGGAGGGTTTCTGCACCCCGATAGTCCTTCATGGGCTGCAGGGGCTTCAGCTTTAAGCCTTTGCTCTGCTTCTGGGGGAGGGGGGGGAAGGCCTCCCCCTTTTCTCCCCCTCCGACTGCACCGACCTTGGTGACTGCTTGTTCTCCCGGACTGGAATTTCTTCTGCGTAACAACCTTCTCTTCCTCTATTCTTAAATATGTTATCACAGAGGTGTTACTGTCCTGCTAATTGGCTGCTGGCCTTGGCCAGCACCAGGAAGTCCATCCTGGAGCTGGCTATCATTGGCTCCATGGGACAGGAGAAGCTTCTAGTAGCTTCTAACTGAAGTTACCCTTACAGCCCCTCCACTACCAAAAATTAAAAAAAAAATCAACCCCAGAAACCCATGACAGTGTATATATATCCTAGATGCAGGTCTAGGAGTCATGTGTCTCCTTTGTTAGAAAGATGGTTCAGAGTCTCATGCTTCCAAATAATCCTTTATCAAAATGTAATCTTCCAGCCAAAGCTGTGATCTAAATGTGTGTTGTTTTGGGCATCATAATGTAAGAAAGATATAAACCTATTGGAAAGCATCCAAAGGAAGGCTACAAAGATGATGAAGGGTCTAGAGGGAAAACCATATGAGGAGTGGTTGAGGTCACTTGGTTTGTTCAACCTGGAGAAAAGGAGACTGAGAAGAGACTTCATCACAATCTACAGCTTACTCACAAAGCAGAGGGGCAGGCACTGATCTTTTTTCTATAGTGACCAGTGACAGGACCTGAGGTAACAGCATGAAGTTGTGTCAGGGGAGGTTTAGGTTGGACATTAGGAAAAGGTTCTTCACCCAGAAAGTGGTTGGGCACTTGATCAGGCTCCCCAGGGAGTTCAAGAAACATTTGGACAATGCTCTCAGGCACATGGTGTGATTCTTAGGGTTGTCTTGTGCAGGACTGGGAGTTGGACTTTGATTATCCTTGTGGGTCCCTTCCAACTCAAGATATTCTATGATTCTATGATTAATAAATTTTTATTTGACTTGACTACTAGAATATCTAGTGGAATTTTTCTCACTATTTTTATGAACATGTATCATTCTCCCTATCCCAAAGCAGCTGAATTGTTCTGTTACCTTGCTTCTGTTTTTATGGTCTTACCTATTTTTCAATAATTTTCAAATTTCTAATGACATTACAGATAATTGAATTGTCTTGGTTGAGTTTTGACCCTACATCTACCTTTTGAGGGAATGTGGTAAAATTTTATCCCTGTTTTTTTTGTTTCTGTGTATTAACTGATATTGGATTTCCAAGCAGTTACAAGATATTTATGTGAGAGGACATCGTAGAATAAAGACTTCCATCAACTGTCATTATTCACACGGGGGTGGTTAATCTGCAGTCCATTTTACATGGACACATATTTAGTAAAGAATGAATTTACAAATTGTAAAGTTTGTCTTACTCCTGACAAAATGTAGAAGATTTATGTATGAATGGTAATGTATCTGTGAGGTAAAAAGACATATTCTTTCAAAGTGTAATAATATCACTTTGAAGATCACAGTTTGATTTGATTTTTGCCCCCTCTTCCCCAATTTCATTTCCAATTTTTTCCTATCTGTATAGCCTCTCCCTCATGGTTAACAGGGGTGACAAATGAAAATTTTTAATAATTACTATTTTTCAACAGAAACACCTATTTTCTCTTGAAAAATTAATGTATGCTAAAGAGTTAGTTGTAGTTTTTATTGAAAAGTTCAAATATTAGTCAATGAATTTGTGTTTGGCTTTTCACAGGGACAAGAAAAGAGACAAAGAAAAGGTCAAGGAAAAAGAGAAGGCCAAAGAAAAGGAGAGAGACCGAGACAAAGAGAAGGAGAGAAACTGGGACAGAGACAAAGAAAGGGAAAGAGAACGAGATAAAGAAAGAAACAGGGATAAGGACAAGGAAAAGGACCAGGAGAGAGAGAAAGAGCACCATAAAGATCGAGAGAGAGTCAGAGACAAGGATAGGGATAGACACAGGGACAAGGATATGGACAAAGATAGGGACAGGGAAAAGGACAAAGATAATGAGAAGGAAAAAGACAGAGAAGAGGTAGACCAGAACAAGGAAAAAGATGATGTTATGAAAGAGAGGGAGAAGGACAGAGATAAGATTAAGGACAAGGAGGGAGATAAGGACAGAGGGGAAAAAGAGAAGGACAGAGACAAAGAAAAGGAGAAAGATGAGAAGAAGGAGAAGAAGGAGAGAGAAAGAGAAAAAGAAAGAGATGATAAAAAAAAGAAAGAGAAGAGATCCAGAACACCTACAAGAAGCTATAGCTCTTCAAGAAGATCTCGTAGCTCCAGCAGGTTTGTTTGGAATTTTTTAATACTTTTTTGGACTTGTCAGTACAGTGATGCACCATGTAAAATGCACATCTTAATTTTTATGTATCAGTATCACCATGTCACTTACTAAGTCAATTTGTATTCATTCTGATTTTTAGATTTCCCTATAAAATATGATCTATTACTAAGAGCTCTATATGATGTGTGATTGAAAATAGTTTCTTGTTGGGCAACTGGTACTTGCTTTTCACATAACTCTTGTCCTTGAGGACAATAAGTAGATGGTTCTTATGCCATTTCTCTCTGTTGGAGCCATCCAAAAGTTATGATGCAGGGAAATTAAACATCATCTTTGTCCTGATGAAAGTCTGAGTCATCAGTACCTAGTTTCTTGGTTACTTACATACTGTACAGTGTTGATCTCTAAAGCAATTTGTTGAGTTTATGAACAGTTGGGTGGTAGTATTTGCCACTTGGCCACCTTAAGGATGGCGAGCAATGAATTTTCTTGGCTGGATGGCTGAACAGCAGGAAGCGTGTCACTTGACTGGCTAATCATTCAGAAAGTGTATGTATCTCAATTGGAAGATAAGTATACCTTGTTTAGCTGGTTAAATGTCCAGATACAAGTAAAAATTAACCTTTCTTAACCATGCTGATAGTAAACAGGAAAGCAGTCAAGTCTAGCTGTTGTTTGTCCCAGTTTAAATGAGACAAGGGTCTTTTGCTGAGGGTGAGTTAGGAGAAAAGACCCAAACTTCTAAGCAATTATAAATCTAAAATTAAAAGACTCCTATTGAAGGAAAACAAATTATGGAAAAGGAAAAATAACAGCCCTTTATTAAAAGTATGTGTGTATTAACAGAAACACAAAAAAAACCCCAAGTAAAACAACCAAACAATACTCCTATACCCACAAATAATCTCCTTCAAAACCAAACCAATAAACCGGCAAAAGGAAAAGTAAACAGTTCAATTTTTTGCCCTTTGGTGCAATTCCAACCACAGTCAGCAGGGGGCGCCGTCGGGTCACTGGAGATGCAAACCTTGTAATGTCCTGTATCAGCCATCAGGTGGCGCTGTTGGATCACCGGAGATACAGAACTTGTAATGTCCGGAGCCCACCACGTGGGTATGCCGGAGAAAACCAATCCAACCAAAAAAAAGGAACCTTCTTTCCCTTCCCACACACTGGGAAAGGGAAGATGGAGAGGGGAAAAGGGGCCAGACAATTTCACTTCGACTGGTCGAAAAAACTGCTCTGCCCAGTCCTTTCTCTTTCTCTCTCTTGGCGGGGCTCCATCCTCCGGGAAAACGGTGCAAGGAAGAAAAAACCAAAAGAAAAAGAAAAAAACCTCCAGGGCAGCAAACAAAACAATAGCTCTCATCCAGGGAAAAAATCCAGGCGAGGCTCCTGGCTGGCTCCGTTGAGAGCAGCATGATGAGGCTGCACCCAGCTACCTTCTTCCAGCCACACCCCACACCGTAGCCCCCTCCCAACTCCTCCCCTGTTGCCCAGGAGATGGGAGAAAAATATAAACATTAGCTCCTTCATCTGCCCCGTTCCCTAGGAGACTAATCTCTCGGCCATTAACCAAGGGGCTATGTCTCTTGTGTTGTTAAATGCTTACGTGATAGCCAAGGGGAAGGGAGAAAATTCTTTGCCTGGTTTACAAGAGTTAGCTAAACCACGACATTGTTTTTGCCTCTGAGGGAGGGTAAACTGGGTGGAAGTCTGGGTAAATTCAATCCAGCAAAAGGAGACTGTCAGATTAATTATAAACTCCGTAAGTAGACTAACTCAGGCAAATTCTAAAAGCATAGCAGCTAACTTAAGTTCAGAAGCTTTGGTGGAAAAAGTCCTTTACAAATACCTTAGCAATTATGGAGTTCAATAATATCATGTGTCAAATTCAGATAGCAAATTTTATCTCTTACCTTGAGAGAACAAAATGCTGGATGAATTGGGAAAAGTTCTATGCATTATAAATGCTTCCCTGGACAAAAGCAAAATTTTTATAACCCTCATAATTCAAGAGTTCATGGTTCATATAATGCAGAAAAGGTTGTAATGGTTTCTGAACATTCTGTTTGGGTTATATGAAATGTCCATGTTCTGGAGGTTTATGGGCAAAATATGGCTTCTTTAAGCATATATTATAATGCCTTGTTAACATTATTTCATGGCCAGTCTCTTCGCGAACGAAGAACCGGGGAAGGTCTTTCCACCTTCCAGCCTGCGCATTGGATTTTTTCGGTGAGACACAGTGTGCGCGGAACTGAGCCCACCCTTTAATCCTGAGGTTCATCTGCCGGGGCCAAGCACGCTTGGACGGTGGCAGTGAGGTCCTCAGGACGTAGATGGATTGCCTTACAGGGCTAACGAGCTCCATCTGCCCGGGGAGGGGCCCCGACCGGGAATCGAACCCGGGTCTCTGCAGTGAC